CATTATAAAATTTAATAATACCACAAGGGACATAAGCCACATTCTATATGGGTATAAGCATATTCTACAAAGTCGAGTAAAACCTACTTCGATCAAATGTGGTAATGAGAAACGTGAAACATCTCCCGAGAGACACCATTATTGCCATCTCCCATATATGACTGCATTCTGGGGAAATATATCTCGATGCGTTGTACGTCGCGAAAACGAAATTCTCTGAGAAAAGGTATAGCTTTCCTATTTTCCATTATCGGAAAAATATTATTTTTCTATATTGCAGGTCATTTTTCTCGGTAAAATCATATTTTTATTTAATTGAATTTATTATTGCTAGAAATCATGATGCAACATCTCACGATAAACTAAAATACGTGAAAAGCACGACCTGCATGTAACATAATAAATGTATCAACGCAACGAAAATTTCAAATAATAATAATAATATATCTTTGTCAAGTATTAGCATATAAACTGAATTGTTAAATTAAATTAACAAATTTGATTTTAAAATTACTCCTGTGAGGCTATTATAATTATAATAAATAATAATTATTATTATTAACATCTACACTAGTCCGTTAAATATTCGTTACTATAAATTAATCGATTAAATAATTAAGATTCATATTGAAGGTAACCGTGCGCAATCCAGGTTTTGTTAATACAGAAGCGATTCGCGCAATAATTTGGAATTACGTGGGCAATTAAATAATTAATCACGGTAAATGGCAAAACATGATACGGGGAAACAAGTTTCGCCGGGCTCGTGCGCAATTCGCGTGCCACACACGCATCGCATGCGGTCGGCTCTTTCGTCATTGAAACTCCGACACGCTCATAACGCAGACTTCATTAGCTCGTAAACACCGCGTGCGCTTATCATGCGGGTCCAGGTTAGAGCCCAATTATGAGTCCTATCGTAATCGAACGCGAAACCGCGCTCACTAAAAACACTCGCGAGAGCGTTCGCTGATCTTAGATGGAGACGTGCGCATACGTGTGCTTTTACTTACGAAAGCTGGCATATAAACTGGCGTAACGCGCTCTGATAGGGCGTGCAACAAGAGAAGTTACGACGAGGGGCAATAATAATTACTTTGCTGTACGCCGCCGCCGCCTCCGCCGCGAACGTTATCGGAAACTTAGTTTGCACTAGTTTTTAACGCAAAACAGTACAACGCAGATTGCCAATAATTTACGACACTTAAAGAATTAATTACGCGAGCCAAATGTACTATACAAATCTTGCTATATGTATACAGTAGTTTATTAATTATTTTAAATATTTTTAATTACTTTTATTCGTTAATTTTCTTGTTTTCCCAATTTTTTTATGTGCAATAAAATAAGTGAAACATGTCGCGGAATAGTAAGGATAATAAATTAAATTATTAAATACATATATAATTAACAGCGCAAATGTAAATGCGTACAACAACAACTGATAATTATTTAATACGTAGTTATAAATACTGAAACTGTTGAAATTTATTGATCCAACGTATGATTAGAAGGAAAGTTTTTTCGTATACATATACTACAGGTTATTATTAATTAAATATTGCCATGAATAAATAGGTATCGATATTTTCATTTCATAATTTTTAGTTTATAAATAAATACAGACACACAACGTTCGCACGCACACATTCTCTCTTTCTCTCTCGCTTTCTTTCTGTCGCATTTATGCTTATTATGAATATTTAATATGAAGCATAAATGATTAATAAAATATAGAATTATAGATATTATATGAAGGTATATCAAGATATAATGTATATAATAAAAATATTGTTATTTTAATATCGTTTCATTGAATATGCGAAGTAGAAAAATAAATGTCGCAAAAGTTTTCGGATATGTGGTCGCCCTGTTAGGGGAAGATAAAGTTAGCAGCCACATAAAACGTATGCGCAAGTAGATAATTCAAGTTTTTCAGTCAACCGACGAAAATGGAGCTAACAAGCAGTCTGAAATATCGCAATAACTGCGATTCGTGCCTGTATTATGGCACGTGGGAATACCTGTATTAGACCCCGTACTAATGCATATCGCCGCACCGTGTACGCCTAGCCACGGAATATTATTCCGTATTCACGTATGCGCGTGTTTACCCGTGGAGCACATCCTGCGCCGCATATATAACCAAGAGTTACAGAAGTGAAAATTTCCCGCTTCGTGTATGCCGCGGAAGCGCAATGCGCTCGTACCATTTTTCTGCCCCTTTTACTCGAGAAAAAATACAAGAGACGACACTACGTGTACAGATTGCACATATTTAAACGGTCTAAATTAAATTTCTCTGCTTTCCTGCTTTAAACTTGGATTTTCATCTTTTATGTACATATATTCTGCGGTGTATGTTGAAACATGCGTAGGAGCCGCGATACAATCGCGCGCATGTAATACGATTTCTAAATACTCATAAGTGTTATTAGGAATTATTCAAATCGTGTTTCACGCTAATGTTGCTAATTATTGCTCAATATATCTTATATATATATGTATTTTAAATACATACAATTGTATATATTACTCTAATAACGTAGAAACAATTCAATTAAAAAAACATATTTAGTAGCTAAAATATATATTTATTAAGAGAAATAATTCTTAAAAAAAATGAAATGAAACAATGAACATAGTTTTTTTCATGTGCGGCGGTACGAATTTTTTCGCAAACTAAACATTCAGTTCGTGCGCTCGCAAGGATATAAATAATTTTTCCCTACACGTGCTTTTGGCTTGAACTCGTCGATTCCCGTATATATAGCGCAGCTAGGCAAGGATGAGATACATTTCCAATGCATTTAAGTGGTAAACTTATCAAAGGAATAACGGAGGATTCGCATGTGAGAAGGTATACACAGTCAACACGATACTTTAGAATTTCAACTGAATTTGCAAGTTCTGAATATGCTAACCCGTCATTTTACCCTTTGACACTTCCATGTGCACATTGGAAAATTTGACGGAAAATGCATGCTGCCGAATTGAGAGTGCAATAGATCAATACATGGTAAAATTGTGTGGAAGTCGGTGGAATAATCGCATCTTGCCAGAAATATCCTATTATCTGCCGGAGCTACTCACGCGAACGTTCGTGGGTGAAAACAGCTCTGTAGGGATGAACATGGAGACGGAAATGTGACCGAATGTGTTTCAAACGGGTTTCGGCTGCAGGATACTTCGCACACGAGGCACGAATGTTGCAAATAAATCAAGACTCCCATGGCTTCCGCTGTAGAGAATCCACGAGGGCGAGCGAGTAGGTGCGCTTTCCTGAATGGACGAAAAGGCAGAACGACGCACTGGTGGAGAAAATCAGGTGGAATGTCGAAAAGCAGGCGTAGGGCTCATCTCTCCATTTATCGGCTAAAATATTTGAATAACAATTCTTATCTCGTTCTCAAACGACTTGCCGTTTTAAACGCAATAAGCACGCGTCTCAATCTCCTAATAAAATCTTTCAATCTTAAATAACAAAGTTTCACAAATGTGTCTTATAATACTTTTAGATTGCGTTTGCAGAAACACAGGCTCCTAGTGACGCATGCCGAAAACAATTTTAATAAGAATAATATGTATCAAACCTTGGTCGCATTACAAACTTTGATATCATTTATTATAAAAATAATTTTTATGAAAGAAAACAGGTGTATTTTGTATCACGAATTAGTTTGATTTTGAATCAGTACTTCCGCGATCTGTTTCATCAATTATCAAACATGTTTATACGCAAATATGAATCTTGCTCGATCTACCTACTTTGTACTGAGTTTGCTCTTGCTGTCGTACACACACCCGGCCGCGAGTGTGTGCCATAAACATGAGAAAACTTCATTCGGAGGAAATACGGAGCCAATCTTATCGGGCGAGATACATTTCGTGAGGCGCGGCGCGCGGAGAAATCGAAATAAATAATCGGCGTCGTAATATAGGCCACGGCGATAAAACGCATAGCATATATTGCACTAACGCACGATATAATCGGAATACGGTGGACTCCGCATGAAAGATGCATCTAGCTCTCGTTTGAAATTTGTTGGCAGTCGTGCACACAATGCTTGTCCAGCGACGTGCAAAATCGTTGTGCGACACACGATCGTTTCGGTCTGCGTGATTTTTGGACGAGATTATTTCCATTTGCGAGGAGAGACGGATGGAATGAGAGAACGTTTTCAAAGAACGCGCGAATACATCGAATCGGTTGTAAGAGCGATTATTGTCGGGATCAAATTAATTCTTGCGATAGTGACAGATGTAAAATAATTCTGCCTTCGATGCATGTTACATATTTTTAAAAAATATTTCTATAACGTGTAAAAATATCAAGACGTACGTCATGATAGTCTTAATACAGGTCTGGTAACGAAACTATTCAATTTATGGATTCACATGATAATTCAAGTGGCCACCTCCATCTGTGCCAGGTCCTTAAAAAATAAAGGCGTTTACATTGTAATTTAATTTTACATTGCAATTGATTTATATCTTGAAAATACCGAGTTGAAAATTTAGTTATTAAATTTTTATTTAAGATTATCTACGGCCACAGAATACGAAAATAGTAATAAGTTAAATATTAGAACAACTTTTTAACTTAATCTCTACGCTCCACCATCTGCGTTTGATTTGTATATGCTTTTAATTCTTCTACTTTGATTTCATAATTGAGTTTTCGTATTAGCATTTATATTAAAAGACATCTAAATGCGCTATGGTGGAGAATGCGAATATATTTTGAACGATAATAATAATACGTATAATACACACATTATAGAGAGACTAGAAGTGGTGCCTGTTATTTTCAAGTATTATTCTGTAGTGATATTAAAAATCTATGAGATTTACTACAATAATATAAAGCATTTTGTATAAAAAATCTAATGATTGATAAAAGAAGTAAAATGTTGCATTCTTGTATAATATAAAAGAGATGAATAATTACTTAATTTGTGATTTCTCTTTAAAATTAATCTATTTGTTTATCTTTGCAGGTGAACGGATCCTGGAGTTTACCTGGGTTTGTTTGTGATTTTTATATCGCAATGGATGTGACTTGCAGCACCAGCTCTATATTCAATCTCGTGGCTATTTCGATAGACAGGTAAATATTTTCTCTTCGCTAACACAAAAATCAAAATAACAAAATACTAATCTGGAAATAGCACTTGAAAACTCTCTTGAGATACCTCACGTTCTGCAGAATATTCCACTAAAAACATTTAATGTTTAAAGATTGGCTTGTCGAAATTATTCAATATCGATTATAAGAACAACTTCCGATAACATTGCCTGTTATATTGAATTTAGTACAGGCCCTCGCCGTAAAATATCAAATAATATAAATGTATCACTACCAAATAAATGTTACATACTTGGTAAAGTTTTTGTACATAACTAATTCAAATCAAATTGAAACAGAAAATCAAATTAATGCTGTATAAAGATGTGTTATAATTTTGTCCACGTTTGGTGAGTTTGATGATGTCTACGATTTTCGTTAAACTTTGATAGTAGAAGACACTAACGTCCAAACATGTGCTTCCTCCAATTCTCGTGGTCGTAAAAGAGTCTCACAGTGATTACCGCGAAAGTTTGGGAATCAGGAAAAAGTGGAGTAGGCTGATTTTACGGGTTTACGTGCCTTGAATTGAACGCAGGCTCGCACCTGTGCTCGGAATGCAACTCGTTAATGAGAAAATTAGACATATTAGTACGTTCAAATTTGTCAGGAATAATCTCTTCGATAAATGAAGTTTTATACATTGCAAATAATTAGCCATGAAATTGATGAAAGAAGATAAATAGTTGAAATTAGTTTACATCACTATGTAGGCTTGAGTGTATTATCTGAAATATACAATTATTTGCCACATTCTTTTTTCCGTATAGAAACAGTGATTATAAAAAATTATAAAATTAAAATGTAACTATTAATGAAATTACAATTAAATAGTAATAAGATTATTCTGCATAGTGTTCAGTGTAACTTTCATTGAAGAATTATTAATCCTGTACATACCTCGAACAACATTTCCATAAAATGTAAAATACAATCTCCAACCGTCTTGTATTTAAATGCTCCGAAAAAAATACGTAAGCTGGAAAAGTGCATATAGATTGCATTTTGAACGGCATTCATTTCGACTACGTTTAATTGATTTTGTGTCGTTGAATTATGGATGAGAATAACGAGAACCTTTATTCCCTTCCCCCGTTGCTTTCTTTGTTCTGGTATGGTACAGTTGACAAGAGGTTTGTCACATAGTAAATTGATGACAGGATGAACAAGAGATTGAAGAGTGCTCGATGATACATATGACGAGAGTGCTATGTACCGCCTTCATACTCGACTTTACAGAAATAAATTGTTATTAGTTAAATCGCAACGAAAAACACATAAATGCGCAAGTTATGCGTTTTGAGCAATTTTCTATTTGAAACAATCGTGATGATAGATTGTTACAGCGAATTGTCAAAGTGCTAAAAACATTTTGAGGGAGTTTTGCGAAGAAACTTGAGACTTTAAAATTGTTTTACAACATTCTCTCCCGAACTTCGGAAATCCCCGACTACAATGGCTTGAAAATGGCCTTTTACGGCCTTTTCAGTCCTTCGTAGGAAGTTTATATGACCAACCACAGATGTTCGCGAGCAATAAAAGCATTTAATTTAAAGTAAATTGTCATGAAGCTAATTTTTTATTGATACAAAATATAAAACATCAATATTGAATTTTAAGCAAAATAGATATTGTCAATTATTATATCATTTAATACATAGATCGGTTTAAATTTCCAATTATATTGTAAACATATACACGCTTTTCAAATTTGTTGTCGCTTTATTCGGAAATTAATTCCGTCAAAAGAGACAATCGGCTGTAATAATAACAACTAACACACATCGAATGCGTTAATCACGCGAGATGGGAATTCTGAAGGGTGGATGAGACAAGAATTGCTGAATCTGTATGTAACGGTTTTACAGCGATATAATACCCGCCGTGCGCGAGGGAATTGCAGCGTGCGCGAACCGATTTTGAATTGCAGATACATAGCGGTGACCCAGCCGATAAAGTACGCGAAGCACAAGAACAATAGAAGAGTATGGTTGACGATACTGTTGGTTTGGGCGATATCGGCCGCGATCGGCAGTCCGATTGTCCTAGGCCTGAATAACACTCCGGACCGGATACCGGACCAATGTCTGTTCTACAATACGGATTTTATCATCTACTCGAGCCTGTCCAGCTTCTACATACCCTGCATCATCATGGTATTTCTTTACTACAATATATTCAAGGTGAGAGCGACGTGACTTTTTTTGCGGCAACGCATATTAACACGCCGTCGTGTGAACCTATATTTTTTTGCATGCCTAAGAAATCGACTGACCGTTGCATACGGAGTATGAGTAATTTGTCAATCGACGAAACAACATACGCTGCGACCAGAGTCTACGCCAATAAAATTCAAGGAACGTATCTTTTCTGTGTAATTTGAAACTTTTATATTGTAAAACTTTCTTATTATGCGCATATGTATAGTAAACGAATATAGGAAAGGAGAAGTTTTCTCATCGGAGGTTGAGAAACGCTGGTATTAATAGGTCAAGCCGGTTAGCGGAAAATATAGGATCATACGGGTAATCGAAATTGCGCATTAAACGAACACGTAGATTAAATAAACCATCATTACCACCGGCAGTACAAATTGTGAACGACGCGAACAAATTTTGATGTAATAACCAAAAATCTGCAATTTAATAATCAAATTTCTAAACGCGATTGCGATTGACATTTCGAATAATATTGGAAAGTGATTAATGCCGCAATGAGATAAAATGTTGAACAAAAAATTTGCGACGTTAAAATTTTATCCACAAGGGATTTTAAAGAATGTGGCTTTTGTGTAATATAATCGTGGCATAGCAATTGCACAAAGACCGTGCAGTGAAATCCATTTCAAAGATTCTGCCTCAAAAAGAAATCGATAGCTGTCTTTGCAGCTGAATTGACGCACGCACGCGACGACAAGACGCAAAGGGAATTATCTCTAGCTCGATTACAAAAGGGTAAAAATTTATTCGTGCCTCTTTTATCTCTATGATTACTTCAGAAACGTGGGTCGATCGCGAAATTGGCATGAAAGGTAGCTCCCATAAAGGCGAGTCCGCTGTCTTCGTAATTTAATTATCATGTATAATATGTGCGGTATCGCAAAAATTAACTCGACTTTATTGCCGACGGCGCGAAATTCGTTAGTATTTTGCTTTGAAATTAAAATATTATAGAAAAAAGTATGACAAACTATAATACGGCTGTAACAGTTGCACTGCAGCCGGCGTAAAATCGTAATGCGACCGTGTGAAAGTGTTACATATACCCTACGTTTCGAAAAGCAAGCGTGCCATGTGTTTAAATATTTGGATGTGGCTTCACGGTGAACGGTTTTGCCGTAAACAAACTTATAAAATCAACTTCGTTTCACCTGTCTCGAATTTTTCGTGTTCGACATATCCATAGTAAAAATCACGTTCAAATTTTATGCGATTAATCTCGGACGCAGATGTAGCAAAGTGCACTGCGGTTTATACAGCGGTTGCTATCATATTGCGGTGGATCGTAAATACGGCTAGTCGAACAATTTCCGCGTTTGTAACGTACGGAATATTTCGATTGGGTTGTTAATTTTGTACTTGTGGCAATTGTACACGCATAATATACCGGCGTGAAATACCATATAACAATATTGATATACGACCTTTGTATTTTCAATACATATGATGTTACCACGTCATTCGCGTGCAATATTATATGATATCATGAGCTCACACCCTTCATAAAACCGGAACGCATCATTGAGGGCATCACTGTCAGTTGTAAATTTCTGCTGAACTTCGTCGAGCTTGTGCAAAGTGTAAAGGATATAACTTTAGATGGAAAGGAGAATATGTTCAAAGAACTCGAGTTTTTAGAAGAAAGATCTAGTGAAATTTAAAAGAAATAAGAAACAGAATTTTGCTGCACCTCTCTCTCTCTCTCTCTCTCTCTCTCTCTTATTCAAAATAAATCTGTAGTCTTTTTAGTTAAGTCGATTTACATTTACGATTACAAGACGCAAAAGAATTTTTCTTTCTCGTCGATTAAAACTTATTTGCGTCTCTTTTGCTTTGACTGATTTGACATAACATAAATAATTGAAATAAAGTCGACATTTGAATTGCTTAAGTATTAAGAAATATTGCGAACAAACATAAATACGGAAAGAAGATAGCTGTTAACAATAACTGTATTATATGTTATTTTAATTTATTCGTTAATTGTGACTTTATCATTTTCGAGCAGTATTATTGCAAAAAAAGTAGAACAAACTGCTGGATTGACTCCCTTTTATTGTCATTATTATCTGTATGATAATCATGACTGTGATATAGGAATTTATGCTGTTTGCAAAAAAAATGAGAATGTTCTTTCCACGAGCGTAAAGCACGGGTGTATCGAGAAATATGCGTATAATCTCTTTTTTAACGAGAGGAGCGAAATTTTTGTCGATGCAGTTAAATCAGCAGCGAAATATTATAATGCTTTAGCAGCACGGAGATTTCCTTCCGTAAAACTGTCGAAATAAATCTCGTTGTCCGTAGATAGATGCTCGATAACGTGTCTCGGGTGTTATCTGCAGAAATCTCACGCAAAGATTTATGTTATACATTTGCGTCTCGAGTTTGCAACCCCTCGTCTGATTTACGTCACAATGTAGATTTTCAATTGACCGTTTCAGGCTCTGCGAAACAGAGCGAAAAGGGCTCGTGCTAGCAAAAAACCGAATTTAGGCGATATAAAACCTGGGTGCATCATCGAGAATATCGCACACACGCGTAGGTGAGTACTCAACTGTGTAACTCACATCCGCTAACTCTTTAAGTACTGTCTTTTTACCCTGTAGAAGTTACAGCAAAACGATATATTTAAAAAAAATTCTCTCTCGAAGATATTTTTCAATTAATTTACATCTGTACATGTACAAATGTAATTCTATGGTTAAATATTCTTTATTCAGTCGGGAAACAAGGATTTAATTTTTATACAATATGAATTTCGTAATTAATTTTGCAACAATATTAAACTTTTGGGAAAACGAATGCAATTCTTATTGTTCCAATTTTCAATGTACTTCTTTTATTTATTGCAAACTAAATGGAAAATGTATTATGCTGTATCTTTTACTAAAATTGATGTCTTGCATGTTACGCATGTAAATATTACACACCACACGCATAGGTACACATGAATATACATGTATAAATGTATATGTTGCCGTCTCTGCTTCCTCATTCTCTATATATATTTTTACAATTTCATACAATTTCGTAAAAAGAAAAAGGCGAAGTCTTACTACATCTCGGATTAAAATCTGCTCCAGGAAAGCGCTAATCTATTATACAGATAAATCGGATTAAAAATACGTTTCCGTTTTCTGACTCGGAATTTGTTTTGTATTTTTTTATTTAATCAATAATCTCAAGATAAGACACATCGCTTCAAAAATTTAAATTAATTATGGCACAATTTATAAATCTTTTACATACGCGTACTTTTTTTTTATCTATCCTTGAACCATTGCATTCTCGACCTCAGAATCTTGGCCCATAAATTCTTGAATTTTCCTTATGTCACCCGATACGTTGTTAAATTTTTAATTGCGCGGCAGACTTATTTGTAAAATCAGCTGTTAAAGAACGTGTTATTTCTCGATTCTTTGTCTTGATATAAACAACTCCCATTATATACTTAAAAGATGTTTTGTCTTTGATGTAATATCTAAGTGTGTCATATTACATAAATACATAACATTATTCGTATAAAAGAGTATTGTTTTTCACATAAATTTATTTGCAAGCAGTATGCGTATTATCACTACAGATTTTTGTATACTTGATTTGAGTTTACCCATTACGAAAATTTCCAACTACTTATATCCAATTTCTTAGCAATTACATGTATATAAGACTTTTATTTAAAATATAGGTATCTCAACCTTAATTAATTTTGAAGAAAATAGTATTACAAAGACATGCAACATGACGACATTAAAGCGTGATCAACAAACGATGGTGTTCGGTCTCACAATTTCGTTGAAAATAAGTTAGCTCGAAATCGAGCAAGAAAGCTATGGTTGAACCGACATTATACTTAGATCTAATTAGGATTAATTGGCGCGATTGGCGTGTTCGTAGACAAATCGTTGTGACGGAAAAATATTGCGAGCGAAAATTTATTCATGCGCCCTCTTATGCGACGTTATCCAGCCCGTTTGCCGGTGCGATAAGCGTGAAGATAACCTGCCGACATTTGGAGCACGTCGCGCGCCGCGATGCGCGACGATTCTTTTCAATTTTCGCGACCGCGTAAGGCTCGCATTCCAACGAGACAATTTCTCGCGGAGATTGGTGCCAGCTGGCGCGGCGCGAGCTGAGAGACGGGGACGACCGAGGGTTAAGTCCCAAACATCCCCGGATAATTCGCTTTTCTCGCACGCCTCCGCTCGCACGTGCTTTCATTTCCGCCGTGCTGACGAGGGCAACCTCGTCTTGAATAGCAAACTACTTGTACGCCGCTTAATCGCGAGTCTTTTTGCTTGCGTACTTTCCTAGACATGCATCTCGTTACGTCTTCCTTATTCGCGTTAAAGTAATGCAAATTGAATATTATCGGGGAAAGATATTCTTTATTGACATTTGACGTTTATAATGGAAAGGTGATGGCGCATCAAGTCAGGTTTGATTAATATGCATAAGAGTGGCGAATGGAATTGGAATGAGAAAAGAAAGGAGAAGGAAAGGTTTTCTACCTTGGATTACTATAATTTGCTTTATTGAAATAGATGTGCGCTCTTATGACAATTCATATTTCAATGAGACAAGAACGTTATTCTAACTATAGAATTATTGAGTGTGAAATATTATAGTGGCAGCTCACTGGTATTTTATTGTCGTCGTGCAAAGTGAATATCCGCAACTGCATAAAATTCACACTACAATGTCGTAAACCGAGATAATAGAATTCGTGTTTATTTATGTGCACTACCATTTACCGACGCATCGGAATCGCATGTGATATAACGTTACCTGCAGCTCGCGAATTCGATATAAGGATTATTTACCTTGCAAAGTATCGCGATGATAGCTTTAAAGGAATATAAAATATTCTACTTTTACATGTCCGTCTGTTCCGACATGTATACACGTTTGCGCCACAATTCGAGACACGTACAACCGCAGTAAAACATCCCGGCAGTACGAACAATTCCTTATGTTATGGATTTTATATTATTAATTGGGTGAAATGACGATTGTACCAAATTACAAAACTTTCGGAATTGAATTCTAAGGACAAATAAGAAACTCCTGTATTTCGATTAAAATTGGTTCCTATTTAAAGGAAACTTTAATTTTCAGTTTAGAGTTAGAAAGATATTTAATATTGGAAATTAAAAAGTTACGAGCGCGAACACGGCGCGTTTAATCAAAGTTTTATTCACGTACTCAATTACCAATTGGTCGAAGCAATTGGTTGTTGAAATCCGAAAGGAGGGAGCCGCGGTATTTTTGGAACAAGGTTTACGCAGACCCGCGTGAAGCTCAGTAGATGTATACGTTTGTAAATACTCGACATGCCTAACCATCTAAGAAGATTTTCGAAAAATATTAAGGCGCTTCGTTAAGTACTTGAGACTACCCGACGGGAGTACCACGAAGGTAAACGAAATTTTCCAACAAACTCCTGTTTACCTTCCTTCCAGCGAAGAGTGCAGAAAATCCAAGTATTTAAGCGCTTGAACGCGGAAAAGACACGTACCTACTAGAGAAGAATGGCCGAAAAGTGTGGCCGGCCGCCGCACACGAAAGATGTGTAAAAAGCGTTCTCGCGAGTTTTACTTTATCTTGTATCTTATCGGCAAAAAAGCACACAAAAGGACAAGATTTAGTGTTAATTGATTTTACAATGACATCACTTTAGCGGATTTAATTAATATTTTTCCTCGAAAAATATTATTTTCTGACATAGAAAGAATATTAAAAATGTATAATTCAATGTAAATATACAGATTGTGATAAAAATCTTTTCGCACGTCTGACGTGAAAGCAACATCTAATTAATTGAGAGGTAACGTGTCTTGGAAAATTGATAATTGCTTTTGGTTTAACTTTGATGCAGATCACACTTACAGCGACGCATGACACACTGACGGCGGCGGGCGATAAATTAAACTTAGGTGTTTACAGTCGCAGTCGCAATTTGGTAACTTCATCCGCATTTTGATATCTCTCTAGGGTGCAATGTATCCGACATAATCTGGCGTCCTGGTTAATCCGCCCACATGCACCCACGCTGGCCACGTTATCCCTTTATCGACTTTGTTATCGCGCGGACCGAGATTCGGTCGAAAGCACCGAAATTTTGATATTTATCTTGGCAGTCTAATTCACGAATCCTGTTGCCGTGGCACGTGTATCTTACTTAAGGTCGGCGATCATTATAATTAATAATTATTTCACGTTAGGATACATACTATATGTATAAAGCCAAAATTGCTTGAGTTAAGATTCAAATGAGATAAGAATGAAAGGAAGAATATCGTTTGTTATACAATATATACAGCAGAATATCAATGTTTTTTTTCACAATTGTTTCTTCTTTGTGAGATATGTACTATCTCATATAGAATTTATATATATTTTTTAATTCACATAGAAATATTATATTTAAAATTTAAAACGTCCGTAATTAGGGAGTTTTTGTTAGAATATTCTTAACGGAGTTCTTAATTTAAAAATTAATTTTCTGACGCAAAAACTTTCCTCTAGCGAATAAAATTTATGCAGATACCATACGTTGAAATGTACGCTTTACCGTGTACAGAAATGTGCATGTGAAAATGTTGCGTCGTGCTTTGAGTGGGCGACTTTGGTACGTATCGGCACTGTCGAAGTATATCGCGGATACTATCACTTCGAAGTTCGATGTATAATGCAAAATTTACCAACCAAGCTTCTAATTTCCGCATAGGAGTGTTAATAAAGCTTATGGCAGCTCAAATCGTGGTATCCGTCGCCGAATATATGAATTATTTTGCAATGCAAAACGAGTTTTGCTCGAGTTGAAGGAAATTAAACATTGTAACCCAATTCTACATTATCCAAGCAGTCAAAGTTTAACACCATTTAGAGAATATTTAACTTTTTAGAAAATTCTTGAATTTCGGACATTGTGAGAGAGGTTGAAAAATATATAGCAAGTCCAAATGAATTTATTAGCATGTTAATAGCTTGTTGTACACAAGTTACTGTATCCGATAAACGCTGTAACTTATATTAAATACAAATGAGATGCTCGACACAAATTATTACATTGGCAAAATGTATGTTGGGCATGTTATATCGATCAAAAATGCAAGTGTACTTTGCAGTTAGATAATTTAATGTGCAACTTTAATTTGCACGAGCGCGCACTCAACCAAAATCATCATATTCTTTCTCGCCCCGTCCCTCCTCTTTCTCTCTTCTTCATCCTTTTTCTTTGTCTCCTTTCTGTTAAATTTTGAATATTTACACGATTAAATATGTTGCCTTTTTATACACTTCTACATGATAAACATTGAAATGATGAATACAAAAAGGAAGACATTGAAATACATTGAAAATTGATTTATTAGATTCAAAATTAAAGAGAGAAGGTTGTGACTTGTCACGACATTTCGACTTGATCGCTGTATCATAAATTAAAGACTCGAGACCTCTGCCGTAAACAGGAAACAGCGACGCTCTGTCACTCAGGATCTTGCAGGTGCTGTCAAAAAGCGTGTCGTCGCTTTGTGCATGATAGATACGCTACTTGCTGGATTAACGCTGGGGGATGCCGGATAAACGAGGAAGTGCATGATAGGTGTAGAGGCTTTTCTAGAGGCTTTTGACTAAGATCACGTAGTGGGTATTCTGTGGCAAGGTTCGCGGAAACGGCGTTGGGGGCGGCCGCCCTGGTGGCACCTGGAATCGAAGAACCGACGAACACCGCTTCCGGCAGCAACGAGGACGAGGACGAGACGCCCCTCGATCCTGTCGTCGTCATCTCCAATGACAAGAGCACGGAATTCTTTTTAGCCACGGTCGTCGAGGAAGCAGCGTAAGAATTTCATCATATCTTCTTATCACTCCTTCTTTCCCCCGTCGCGCGTCCCGAACGGAAGGAAGATGTCGGAATTTCCTTTCAACGATATCTGATCGCATTGTCATGACGTTGTGCGACGCGGCTCGTCACCATCGGTGCAAAAAGCCATACGGACGCGTCGCCTCTGAAATGGTTACCGTCTCTCAAGATCGTTAGCGTCGCTCAGTTTGATATGTATACCTCTTTGCGATGACAATACGGTATGAAGTCGAGGGAAAAAATCAAAGTGGCTCTGCGAGGCCTTTCGTAAAACGTATGATTGGTCCGAGATAACTTATGTCGCGTTACATTTGATATCGACTATTTGCCCCGATTATTCTAGGAGTTATTGGGATCGATGGCAATATCATTCAGTAAATATAACTTAACACATCAATTTTTATGCAAGATTATTTTTAAATAATATAAAACTTTACACTGTCTTATTTGCGGTTTTATTAATTTTATTATTAAAAGAGAAATATTGCATTGAAATAGCATTTTTATATTCAAATGCGGATAATAAGTTTATCCTCTTAATATAGCACATTGAATAAATTATGAAATTAAATTTACTTTACGTGTATTGCGAGGGAAATGCCGGAATTAACTTATAATACGACTTATATATGAATAAGGGCACTAATCAAGATACAACTTTTTCTTTCCATCTGCTTTCGCTGAACTTCGAGAAATAAAACGAAAATGGTTAAAAAGTCGCGGATGCCTGAAAGGCAAAAGAAATGATTATACGATATTCCATCCATCCATATCGTAGAAAAGCGGAGAAATGTTCGCGTTTCTTTTTATTACGCGCCGCTCAAAATGATCTGATCTGTTCTTCGTATCGCTACATCACATGGAATAACTTCCCTTTCTAATTCTTCTTGGTTGCGACTCGCAATTTGAGAAAAGTACGTAACGCGAAATTGAAAGAGGGTTAAAAGAGTTTAGTGAGGATTAAATTAAATATCCTTTGTGCAACTTGACCTACGTATTTAAAAGAATTCCATCGAGCGATCCCATAAACCTTTTGGATGCTGTACTATTTTCTACTTAACATTGTACAGAAACATAGGACTTGCGTAATTTCAATTAGCCGGAAAGCGGTACGAAGGATAAAGAAACGTCCGTTATATAAAGCGGACAAATAAAACAACGCGAGAGCGTAGGTTGTTGCGAGCTTCAATTATTTTCCTACCCCTTCTAAAGATTTCCAAGCGACGCGAAAAGGCTTTGAGTCAATCAAAAGTTTCGGCCTGCCGTTTAATTGGCCAATTGGAAGCCTTCAATTAAGAGGATATTACTTCTGCCTCGCGTGTCGTAAAGTTTGTGGGTTTGTATCCCTTCCGTTCAGAGTCCTCTTCAGATTATCTGTTACGTGAGAATAATTGCGAATTCTTTTCGAGCACGCAGTGATTACTGTTTCGGACTGTCCCTGTTTTTTCTAAGTATAATAATACATTTGTAACGAAATATATATATATACTTTTTTTTATCAAATTACAAGAATTACTTTTAGTTTTATATACAATAATTTTATGTGTAATTTTTCGTCTTACATAAAATTATAATCTCTCTCGGAGTCTCGTTTATAAAGCGATCGAACAATAAGATAAAAGTTTTGCGTTTTTCACACAGCAATTAAAAACATGTTCCTTAAACGTCGTGATTAATTAATTTTCATTAAATTAATTTTGTTCTTTTTGCTTTTTGAAATTAAATATTTTCTCATTTCTCCACTTTTTAAAAGCGTCTTTTGGTAATTTGTCTCGGCCGGATAAAGAGACGAAGACAATTCAGGGCGATGTCGGAACTTCGACCGATCGGAAAATTCGGACAGGAAGGCACGTCGATATTCAGGACGGCTGACAAGTTGGACGTTCGAAAGTTCGTGCGCGTTGGACGATGGGGCAAAATAAAAAAAAAATCGCGGATCGAGAGGAAGAGAGTGAAGGGAGCACGGCCGTGTGGCGAAAAGCCGATGATCTCGTAATTATTTTCTTCGTTCTCCCGACAATCACGGTACAGTGAGAGTCATTCGAAGCTGTGCGTGAGTCCACATG